AGTCGCAAACTATTATAAACCCACACATCTAATCTTTGACATTCTTAACTGCAACACAAGTGTGAAAACAAGTGAACCACGATACCGCTTAAAAACAATAAAACATGCAACTCAACTTCCACTTTGACAAGTGTATGGTGTCACAAAAACCCAAAGAAAGCGCAGACACAGATTTGGTTTCGAAGCTGACTGATCTGAAGTGTTGTGAGATACACTCACATTTTAAAATAAATTTCCAAAAGGGTTTTCGAGTTTGAAGATTCTGTGAATGCATTGTGTCTTTTGGTGACTGTACGAGCATTTTAACAGTGGAAAGATACTGCACTTAGTTTGTGAAGCGTAACGCAAGCATGATGGCAGAACGATGCTATTTTCTGTGTTCGCGAGTTCTGATCAATTCATAACATTTCCGAGAAAGACATTGAGAGTGTGTTAATGCCAAAGGTAAACAAACAATACAATCCGACTCCCTTATTTAGTTATTTTTATTTTTAACTACTAAAGAAGATTTTAACTTGTTGTTTGACATGATCTGCTTCTGCTTTTGGTTTCCCTATTCAGGAGGAGATTTCTCTGGAAGCCCCTATTCCCATCCTCAGTATTCCACATACAACGAATCCTGGAGATTTCCTAACCCTAGTTTATTAGGTATGTTTCGACATGAAATTATATGTAGGGGAAAAAATATATAGTTGATTCTTGTCATTTCACATCAAAGTTCCATCAGAACAGATTTGAGTGTGTCCTGGAACAGATTGTGGTTGACTTCCCATGGTCACGATCGCTTTGGACTTCGGTGCAATTCTCCCTTTCAAAGCATGATTATGCCATTTGCAATAATATTTAACGCCAATACAGTCCACAGATCTTTACTCCGAGACGTCGTTGTCAAGTTCATTGCAGAGAGCCATTTCGGTGCTTCCGTTTAAACGTGAAACAATCAAGGCAGGGGTCAGGCTGTGCTTACTGACTGCTCCATGAACTGACCCCTCTCCCTTCCTCTGCCCTCAGTGTTTCAGCAAGATTACGGATCCCTCTTAGGTACTGAAATCGGCTGTTCCTCGAGTCTCTTCACCAGCCAGGCGGGACAGATGCAAGGTAGATGCAAAACATTCAAAATAAATAAATAAATGAATAAAATAAAATGAAAAAAAGGAGAGAAATAATTTTTACTTGACTTTTCCCCTATAAGTACACTTTGGACACGTTCAGACACACGAGGGGCTTATAGCCTAAATGACAAGGAAAAGGACTAGGCTCACATAATGAGGCACAGGATGTGAGTGAAGGTGACAAACGAAAGAAAGTTGTGTTCGAAATAAATGGCGCGCGAGGGAGCCTGAAGTCATGAGTGAGACTAAATAGTTTGTCAGGCCGGCTTAATGCTTCACTTCCCAAAGAGCCTCCTGAGATTACCTGGACTGTGGACACAACCTGTCAGCACGCAGCCAGCCAGATTGATGGATGCGACATCGACAAGTGTGTGTGTGTGTGTGTGTGTGTGTGTGTGTGTGTGTGTGTGTGTGTGTGTTGACCTTTTTCCTATGGAGTGAATAGACTCAAGGGATCAGAAGCAGTAGTTGAGCTGTACTCTGAGTGTCACCTTAGCCTGTCACTTGTGTGTGCAATGGTTTGTGTGTGAGTAAAGGTTATAATAGTTTGGGAATTGTTATCGGTTTTTTTTTGGGTGGGGGGGTGTTGTTTCAGTTTGTTTTTTTGGTTTGTTTTTTGAGAGCGGGTTCGTTAGTTTTTATGAGGGAGTTAGTTTTCTAAAATGCTTTTTTTTAGTTTGGTTTTTATTACAGTAAGTATCGTAAAAACTCTACAAAAACATAATTTTAAAAACGGTGACTTCATACTTTGTAAAAACAACCATCCACCAATCAAACACGACCTTATGTCATGTTGCGTGGTGGTGGAGGACCCCAAAAAGCAGGCAGGAGGGAGGAGCAGGTTATACTTGAAGAAGTGTATTGATAAAACACAGAAAACTAAATCCAAAACAATGTCCTAAGGACAAAACAAATCCAAAGTAGCAAACAAAAACCATGACCGAAGCAAAAAACTATCAAGAACAGAAACATGACCAAAAACATGACAAACATACATGACAGCAACAAAGAAACAATGACCCAACACCGAGTGGTCATGCCAGGAGTCCTTTTAAACAACTAATGACATAATGACCAACAGGTGTGCAGCTGCAGGGAGAGCCCTACAGTGCCATCTGTTGGTCACAAACAGAATCCTAACACCTTAAAGTGTAAAAGCATAATCCTGATTCTAAAGTTAGATGCATCACAACCCTAACATTTTAAATACAACTAGGGTGGTCTCACAAGCACTGTGATTGACTGACGACCAGTCCAAAGTACATATACCTACACCTATTCTCTGGGTTAGGCTCCAGCTTACATATGACCCCTCGCTGCCCATCTTTAAAACTCTACAGTCGAGTTGAGTTGATTGAGAAAAGCACTATAGAAAATGGATTGATAATAATAATTTGAAAATTGTCATCCTGAGAGACATTTTGCTGTTGCTGAGTTTCGTGGTGCGTCCAGTATAATTGAAATGGAGAACAAGCAAGTGTGTTTCACGACATCTGTTTCTCTCAGGCTCACCGTACTACTACAGTGCGACATCACGTGGGGCCGGACCCACCGCCACGGCCACAGCCACGGCGTACGATCGCCACTGACCATGCCTGCTGAGAAGAGGAGAGGACAAGGGAAGGAGGGAGGGAAAGGATAGCACCAGCACTGCTCACTTCAACAAGTCTGCCCCCGTGCACTGACCAATCACATTTTGACAATTGTGAATCCTTTTTGGACTGTCATTGAAACCGACCTACGCACTGCCACCCTGTCAAAAAGTTACTGTGAGGACACGCGTGATGCAGTGCGACAGGTAGGCTCCATCCATGCATTTCGAGTACATTTTTGCAACTCTGAGGACTCTTCTACTACATCAGACGTGGATATGTTCATTTTCAACCACTAACAAATCCAAGAGACATATCCACAAGCCACGATTTAGCATTTCGTAATCTTGTGGGCTGATTGCTTTGTGTGTGACGGTTGGGACGATTCTTTTTCTGATGATACAGTGTGGCCTGGCTAGAGCAAAATCAAACCACGCTTTTTTAAAACCAGTGGTCAATCAATTCAATGTTCTATGCCATGTTACGCTGAAGTAAAGACAATCCAACTTGCATAACTTTAAATGACCAAACCCTTTTAATGCCAGCCTCTTGGATTACACCATGGGTGGGGAATCTACAGCCTGTGGGCCATATCGGGCCATGACAGCATTTTATTCGGCCCACCGGCTAAATAAAATGCTCCAAATTATCTGCAATTGTTCAGAATTTATCGAGCCATCCTTTTCATACCCTGCAAACTTTGGGCAAGAGGCCCGATACACACAGGGCTGTTTGCCAACTAATTAATTATCAGGGGCAGCAAACTAAGTTTTATTGTCGGCCACATTGTCGAGTTCATATAAATGCATTATTATTAATCTTCATCTTCGTTATACTACTTCATACTTTATAATTTCACCTGCATTTAATGGTTGTTTGATACTTTTTTTAAACAGATTGAAGTTGAAGTGACAACCCAATATTCAAGTACAGTATACACCAATTTTTCAATCTATGTTAAAAAAAGATTTTTTTTGTAATGCTTTTAATAGCATAAAAATTGAGGAAAACCAATCGTTTTGGTAAAGATTTTCTGCCAAATGAAAAGAACAAATCAATTTGGCTACAAACATGAAGTAGACAGACACACTTGGGTTTGCTTTAGTGAGCCATTTGAAACGGTCCCACATAGGTTCCCTACCCCTGGGTGACAATAAAGTAACGATGACGAGGATGAGCCTTTCGGACAAAGCACAGACCTCAAGTGTAAAATGAATTATGGACTATGTTGAAATGAGACCCAACTAAATTCAAACAGCGTGTGTTACCATACAGGAAGGTGCTATCCAATCTCCCCCGGCAAGATTTCGTAGTCATCAATAGCTATTTATAATGGT